AATAAATGTTTTTTATATTGTCAGTAATAATTTGCCAAATGCAAATAGAAACCAAATAATGACAGTTGATGTTTTGTAAAATACATATTATACATCACTTATAATAATAATAATATGGAGCATATGATATAGCGCCCTATCTAGCTAACATATGCCACTCTAAAGCGCTTTACAGTACAAATATAATTAGCAGAATTCGCAGGAGCTGCCTTATCAGGCACTAGTCCGAATTATTCTGACGTTTTATCGACTTTTTATGTCGGTCTGTCGTCGATTAACGTCAGAACTCCGGCCCTCTATAATATGCGGGAAATAAGCGACCCGCGCCAGGGTCGCTCTTCTAACTGATATTTTAGAAACAAATCATCACTTTCACACACATGTCGCACATGGATCGAAAGATCTATTCTTTATGCACTATGGTATCAATAACATGTTTCAAAAATCATTACGAACATTTTCTATACCAACCCATGTTTTAAATGGAAATTACGGCATGAGCCATGTCACATGACTTGACGAGTTCTCGCGTTACCGAAGGTACTTCGTAACGTTATGACGAAGGCCGTCGATATTTTAGTCACGTGGCATTAGAAGGCAGGGCTATCAAAAACGTAAAGTAAAACGTAGAGTAAGTTTGAAAAAATATGTTTTTAGTGATTGTATTGGTTGTTTGAGGTATGTCATTTATGTTCATCTTATGCATAAAGAATAGAACTTTCGATCCATGTGCGACATGTGTGTGAAAGTGACGATTTGTTTCTAAAATATCAGTTTGAAGAGCGACCCTGGCGCGGGTCGCTTATTTCCTGCATATTATAGAGGGCCGGAGTTCTGACGTTAATCGACGACAGACCGATGTAAAAAAAAAGTCCATATAACGTCAGAATAATTCGGACTAATCAGGCGCTAAGCACTTTCACCTATTAACTGGAAATCCGGTTAATCTGATTTCAATACCAAACACATTTGCAACGTTTATCCACTTTCATTGTCAGACTCAATATAATAAATGCCTAAACACAGCCAAGGGGAAACCAACACACAGACACGTATGCCGACTACAGATGTTTCTTGTCTCAAGGACGAAATCAAGTTTCAAACGTATATAAACATACTCGCTAAGATCGTTATCTGTACAATGCTTCAATTCGGACAATGTTTTCATCGTAACGCAGCACTTTCCTGTATCAAAATACCGGTCGTGTCAAACATTCCAGTAACTCAACATTAAGTTAATCAGACGCTTGACCATGATACCCATATGTTTCAATAATGTAGCTCTGATCTTTTTATGATACGCGTTATATAGGAAAAAGTGATCAACAATCGACTTGTCCACAAAGAACTGTAATCAAGTAACAACCGTTCTGACAGCAATGGTTTTGGGAATACGAAAGAAGAAGAAATGGGTATAATCAACCCTCATTTGTTGGAAACGACCAAACGTTTAATCGTCATTATAACAGGGAACGTCGTTGGTAACGCGCCATCTGTAGGTCCCTGGTATTCATTGTGTGTTGTTATGTAATGAAGTCACAACGTGTTTCCCGATGTCCTGGGTTAATACAGGTACTCTTAGTGAACACAATACATGCTTGTTCGGGTACATTCGCAAAAGTAGCCCATCGAATTAGTGTCAACATAACATTTTCCTTTTCTATCAAAGAGAGATATTAGTGGCAATTAGTGTCGGGGTCTTCCTTCTGCCTCCTTCCCTATCTTCCTTCTTCCTCCTTCAATGTCTGTCTTAACTATAAATCTATCTTCTTATACAGAGATATCTCGTATCGATCTCTTTATCATAGTTAAAATCTCTTGTAGTCAGGGTTTCCTATCGGTAACAATTCGATCTATTTTGACGACTCTTTTCTGCCATCATCAAAACCTGATTTACAAGTGTGCGATTTCAGTAAGTGCAAAGATTAAAAAACATGCGTGATTTTCAGTGACCAACCGAAGAGTGAGAATTTGAAGAGAAACAAGATGCTCTGCCTTTTGTTTTAGTGTTTCCTCTGGTTCTGATGCTATCTTTTGATATTAATGTTTTTTTTAGATAGATGGCGATTCGAATTATCAACGACAACATTTGTAACTTGAACTCAATTATCGACTGTTACGTCATGGTGTTTTCATGGCAATCTTTCAGGAGAAAAATAACATTCTTTTGCAGAAATTGCAGTTCAATGATGCAAATATATTATCGAAATCCACCAAAACCCGTCAACAATATATTTTTATTGGTTGGGGTATTTTGTACTTAAAATTGGTTATTCAGCAACCCGATTACGTAACAAAATTAGAAGCACACTTCCACGTGTTATATAGCCATTGTTCTCTAATCTCAAGGGGATACCACCGCTTTTGTTTCCTGCACTTTTCGTTTTGTTTACAAATAAACATCCTACTGTAATACTGCTTCATGTATATAATTTGAAACTAGCTTTTACAGCAATATTTATGTACGATGTTGGGAACAAATCATTTAACATAAATTGGTTGTTGATTTATAAGTAATAAAACGTTCGCGACATTGTGTTGCAGCTCGTATGAATTTCTGGTATACGCTAAATTTTGAATATCAAACTTAAGTATAATTTAATCCTATTTCATGTAAAAGGCAAACGTTATGGCAAATGGGGGTGTTATTGTTATAAAATTGGGTATTTGGTTTGGGGGGGTTGGGGTATTACTCTTTTTGTTTGTGCACTTTATTTTTTATTCCAGCTTTTTGCATTGAGCTTCATTAAACAGAGCTTGTATACTGTTGATTAAACAGAGCTTGTATACTGTTGATTAAACAGAGCTTGTATACTGTTGATTAAACAGAGCTTGTATACTGTTGATTTTCAAATATTTCATTACCAGAGCGTCACGATTGTAGCATGAACCCCAAATTCCAAGCTCTCTTTTTTTTTTATCTACGAAAGAATTGTTTATTAGACACTGGCTGCTAATTCAGGTATAGCTCCTGAAGCACCATTCTCTACATAATTCCTGCGTTATAATGACGGAGGATTTTGACAGTCACAAAAGTAGACATTTGTTTGCCAGTTTGAGCGTATTTCCTGGTATTCCGACGTATATTGAAGCAAAGAAATAATGATCCTGTCTGAAACGTCCAATATAGAGGTAAATAGATGCACACGTACCAATCTCTAGACTCTGCACACGATTTATTTGTCCAGGCGTAATTGCATATTGACCAGAGTAACATTACATAAGAGGTCATTGAGTGCAATCTAAGCCAGTCGAATATGTCAAGAGAAGTCGCATTGAAAAAGATCCCTGTGCCATTTCGGGAGACCATGGCATGGATCGTGTAGTACCTAAATTCGTCAGCTTAACTATTCTGTTTGAAGTCAAATTTAAATCAAATATAACTTAAAGACGATGTGAATACGACCGAAAACATTCTATGTTTTAAAAAAGATGTTGAGGTTAAACCTGATAAAAAACATTTTCTCATCAAACATTAAGCTGAATCAAGCTGGATTTTGACAGTACAGAATCACTTCAAAATTGGTTATCTTAATGCATCCTCATTAAAGCATAAATTTGAAGGTTTTCAAAATTATGTTGAATTGTTTGTACATTTCTTAATTTTGTTAACGGTGTATCAGAAATATCAAAAGTTTGATAATGAATTAAATTCTATCGATGGCCGATGTTTCGAGAGAGTGATATATAACATAAAACTTACCGATGCAAATAGATCAGTAATAAACAACAGGCAGAGACTGTTTCTTTAATCCTTGTAACGCTACGGTATATACTCAAGTTGTATAAAGAGTAAAAACAGCCTTATTTTAAAGATTGGTTTTGGCTGCTTTATGGGGCCAATACACTTTGAATAATTTGATGCAGTAAAGGGAAGGGCATATTGCCACATTGTGATAATCTTTATGAATGGAAATGCAAATAAAATATAAAAACATGAAAATAATGATTTCCTCTGAATCGATGTCTTGTACACGTAGATACAGCATGTCCGTCTAAAGTCATTTTTTCTGTAGCCAATCAAATTACAAACGATTTCTAGCTCAACGTGCATATACAACTAAACCATTTAAGTATATCTTGTTTTCCTTTTATCGAAATAACGTTTTAATAAATCAGCTCATTCGAGGATTGTGGCGGAGTAGAAAACCACAGCCAATAATGACAGAGCCACGGTAATACAGTCCACAGTATAACAACGAATGGTTAGCTTGAAAATCAAGCTATAAACATGTATACTGTCTTCAAATACACGATGTGCAATGGAGGAGACACCAACATAATCGGGAAGACAACATGGACCCGAAAGACAAGGGAATGGATAAATATTATCCGAAGGTAAAGCGTTTCTTACAACAAAGGGTCGTGATTCAGGTCACAGTTGATTAACCTTATTATTTCCATAGTAATCAGTAATGTTGATGCTTGAATTGATTTGATTAGTTAATGAAAAAGAAGAATGTTTTTAATTCTTACAATAGAAATGTATTTCAATGGATAATTCCACAGCTTATGGTAAGACACGGAAGCGCTGTACACCACTATGAACATAGAGTTAAGTTTCCATGATCCTGATAATCTGAGGTTGGCATTTAGATAGTAAACCTCAATTCTATTCAGCAGCCAGAGGTCATGTCCTTGATATTTCCATTTCATTCTGGAACGTCGCCAAAAGCTAAAAGTTCGTGCTTGGTGAGGATTGAAGAATGATATCCATCAGATACTTAGTTTGTATTTTGTTAACAACAGCTTGCTCTTACTTTGATGTGCACTATGCGTTCTCTATATAGACGTTCGGAGGAATACCATTATTTTGTAACACTTATTTCGATTTCATTAGTTCCTTTTATTTTTGAAAGCCCCTTCTTTCCTGTTGATGTGTTTGTGTATCAACATTATGTTCTGAGTCTGTGCATGATGTTGAGTCGGGTATTTTATTTCTGTTTTACTTTGAAGCCTATTCTACGTCTGATATACACAAAATATCAAAACCACAATTCTTACCGTAAACATGCTTTATTTGACTTCATGTACAACATGTAAAAGTAACACCACTTTCTGTCGAATAACACCAATGATTCACGTTAAGGTAAAGAAACTATTCGTACATATACAATACCTCAACCTAAAACAACAGCTTCGATATTACCCATGGACATTGCATGATACTGAAAAAAAAGGTTTCGATGAAACCCATGAACAGTTCATTATACTAAATTTAAGCTCCTGTATATCAGATGTACATTTCATTTGACTGAAATATCAACTCGGATAAAACCCATGTCCATTTTAGGATTCTGATTGATAAGCTTCAATAAAACTCATGTACATTTTAGGGTATTGAAATATCAACTTCGGTAAAACCTTTCCATATTTCATGACACTGAAAAAATAGCTTCGATAAAACCCATGTACATTGTACGATGCTGTCCTATCTGCTTCGATAAAACTCACATATATTTCTTGGAATGATACTGCTAAAAGGTGAGGACATTCAGTTTCATGTAATATAAGCTGGCTAACAAACAATCATTCCAATGAAGTTGAAAAATGTATTTCTTAATTAACGCATAAATATAATACAAGCATTAAACTAATTAGGATTTCTTAATGAAGGAAACTATGACGTCTCGCTACATGTACTTCTAGCGATTATGTGTGCATTTGTATTTGGAGGACCAATAAAATGACAATGACTTTAATGTTCTTTAGTCATATGGATCCAAATTATAATTACTATGACTTAAGCTAAGGAAGCTGCTACGGGTACTTGATAACAATATCTGTGATACTTTACAACCAACAGTACTCTGAGTGGTAATGGAAGCTATTGATACAATACATTTTACACATGAATATTATTTCGAGATTTATGTATTCTAACAACTATCCGGTATTTATATGCTTTGTTAAATTACAAATCTATTGATGTGTAAACATCTGTTTTGTTTAGGTTATAAGCAGTCGAATATTGATCGGACCAAGCTGTATTTGATTGATAATATGTGATGCCAATACAATTGCTACATTAGAAGTGTAGCGTAGAGACTGATGCATATATGATTGTGGCCAATATAATTCCTAAAAAAACGCAGGATTAAAACATTTGATTATTTAATAATGGCAATTTAAAATTTCCACAGGTATATGGTTGTATTTTAGAGAGTGGGTATAATTAAAGCAAACCCAGTGATAGACCTGTAATTTCATGTATCTATTTAAACATTAATTAACACGATTTCTTTCATATTGTGACTAAAAAGTTCATGTGTTGTTAAGCTAACAGTTACTCTAGACATTTTATGTTTTTCATTTATTTATGTAATGTACATGATCAAATGCAACATGTCAATGGTTCAGCAGCTTTAAAATCCATGTTTAAATCTGCAATCAACGATCTTTCCAAAACTTATTTTTCGCACCGAAACAATCTCTGGTAAACAGGAAGTTGCGATGTAAACATCTCTCTGTCAGCGGGTATGTCGACTGTTCGAACGTCTTAACTTGTCAGGTGTACAACAGTCTACGGACTGGTAAACACACACAAACACACACAGGAGTATATCAACATACCAATGAAATGTCAGTAAAAGTTCGAACCTCGCACTCACTTTATTTTGGTTTCCAAGCCCAAAATCTCACGTGTGTTTTTCTATGTTCTGGTCTTCTATCACATAACAATAACAGGTAACAAACTGACTCTTTAATACCCAAAATTATTCAAATTTTGACTTGTGATTGTAAACGTTATCTAAAAGTTTAATATCTGTATTGGAAATACGTTAAGAGTTGTTTGATATATTAGCAAGCGAAACACTTTTTTTTTAAATACATATAATTAAATATGAAATATAGTTTTACCTGTATTTAAAATGGTTTCTGGGTAATCATCGAAAATAGATGAATGTTTTGTTTATGAAAGGAGCAATAATTATTAGAAATAACTATTGTATACTGACAGACATTTATGGTAAAACCTTCCTATTCTGTCATCACAATTCCATTGTTGCGTTGCAAAGAAGTTCCGCGATTTATCGTCGGATTTGTATGAAGTAATTTTCAAGAAAACAAGAAAAACAAAAAAGGAACTTGAAATGCGTTCGTCACCAAGGTGACTTTCGACATTTGATTAATCATGTTGGCTTAATTGCTGGCCTTAAGACAGTGGACGTCTCTGCTTTATACAGGCAAATATGGCGAAGGTTTCAGTTCCTGTTTGTCAGTGGTTTTTCGACTGTTGCCAAAGATGCGTGTTCGGGAAGCAAGCTTTGGTTCTTAACTTTTTCAAGCATACGTTTGTGTTACAGAAAAGTTGTTTGTTAAAAGGAGAAAAACAAAGCAGGAAGTTAAATGTTTGGTTACTAGACAATATATTTGACAAATGATTTATGCAGTACATAAACATACTAATAAGCAACTTTCACTTGGTTTAACATTACTGGACAACAATCTAACATATTTAACACCAAAATGACTAACTGGTAAATATGTCACAACCAGGACTCAACTGAATGAAGCTCCATTCACTTCGCAGCATTCAGAGAGTCATTCATATTGGTATCATATCAGAATTGAATAAAAAAATACCACGTGATTCAAAACCCTGATTAGCAGGAAGAAGAACTAGAGATAGAGTTTGATAGAAATACGTCCTGTACATGCTAGTGACATCATATAAATCAGTCATAGGGCAGTAATTGAAGAAAGCATGTAAAATATCGACATATATCTTTCTCACCCAATATAGAAACATATCTTTACATGGGGTAGGCATTCATGATTGCCTATCCTATAATGAATTATGTCCCGGAAGTAAAATTGTGCAGGTTTTGAAATAAACTGAACTTTGCAAATCGGATCTAATGCTAGCCCCACGACCTAACACACAGTCTTCAGAGGAGGCTATACTACACAATAAGAAGCGAACTGACGAGACTGCCAAGAAGGGCTTATACACTATACTAAATAGCACCGATGCTTTGTCTGTCACGAATATTTTACCGACTCTTCATTTACCATTTTCGTATTTCCTTTCCACATGGAATACGTGTTCTAGCTCTACAGCTCTTTGTACAATTGATAATTAGCAAGATACTAATTACAATGCTATGCAAAGTTTGAATGTCAACCAATCATATGACAAGAATATCTACAGTTTATTTTAATCATCAATAATTAGCGTGTGACGTCAATTTAATAAAAAATCACTAACATATGAAGTAACATTAAGTCGTCACAAATTATGACTTATATCACATATATCATAACAGTTATACCATTTATGAGGTCAGGTTATACGTAGTTCTTCAACACGTGACTCCGGGTGATATCTATATATATAATGATAAAGATACATATATTACTTTGTCCACTATCTCCGTGCAAGTAATTTAAACCTTTCACAACTACATTGCGTTAGGATTCACCAGGCTTCCGTTTCACTTTTATCATGAAAGTTCGACAACGTGATCTGCTCTGTTTGGCTGTAGTTGCGTCCGACGAAGTGTTGAGTGGTCGTGGAATTGGAGTAGATTGACATCGTTGGCTGGCCACGCCCCCGGATACGCCTCTTTTGTTGCAACATGCCACAGCTAATAGCCATGCGGAATTCTTTTCTGAACTTTGCTGAAAAGATATGAAATACAATCAGACTAGATTGTATATTTGTATTTTTGTGTGTTAATATCTTTTCCTCTTCCCTTATAAACTTTATTTACGGTAAGAGAAACATTTAAGCTTATTTGTATATTTTTGGCCTTTTCTTGTACAAATAAATTTAAGACGAACATGACTGCATGGAAAATACCTCTAATTTATTGAGGAATTAAGTTACTGATATTGCTTACGAATTCACTAATTTAAAAAAAGATATCACTACAGTGGTGGTAAAGTCTAGAGATTGCATAATTGGAAATAAAAGAATGTAGTTTGGCTTTGAAGAGCTGAAACTTTATTGATACACTGTCTCGTTTAATGATTCAAAATTAAATGTTTCCGATAAATAGTCTTATCGTTGCGAAAGGGAACAAAAATAAGTATACCATATATAACCTTTCATTTCTTATTTCGCTAACGTGTGGCACAGGAAACGGGCATATAAACAACACTGACCTCGTTATCGACGCCTACTTAGAAAACGTATAACAACGAAGTGCTTTTACTGAAAACGTGGAAGCTGGCAAGAACATTAGACTTGGCACCGTGCATGATATTGCCAATTAATTACATATACATAGAGATAAGGAGAACAGGCTTACCTAAGTTTTTGTTATAAAAAAAACCAACGAACGAACAACGACAAAACAATTATGTAAAGTAATAGAATGTAAAAATTTGTCGACGTAATTTAAATGTTATTGCGACATATTCATAGATTATGTCGATATCTTCTCTGATTATGCCGACATCTTTTAAAAATTATGTCAAAATAGGTAACTCGCAAGTCGAAAGTCGATGGCAGAAACACACCAACAAAGTATCCAAACTAAATTCAATATAAATGATTACCACTCATGACGTTGTATATACAGGCTTGTGTATATGTGTAGATGTTAAGCTGGAATCGTAGAACTTTTTTTGAAGCAGGGATATCAAGGCTTTATCATTCAAGTATATATGTGTATATGTATAAGCGATATTGTAGGATCTTGAAGCAAGGAAATCAGTGCCTTATTGTTGCCTAGTTAATGTGTGTTCTTGTATAGCTGGGATTGTAGAACTCTTGAAGCAGAGAAATCAATACCCTATTACAGCCTAGTATATATGTGTTTACGTATAGCTTGGATTGTAAAACTGTTGAGACAGGACAATCAGTTTCCTTATATTTATAGCTTAGTATATAACTAGGATTGGGGAATCTTGAAACAGGGAAATCAGTGCCGTATCATAGCCTAGTGTGTATAACTGTTAAAGCAGGGTAACCATTGCCTATTACAGCCTAGTATATAACTGATGAAGCAGGGTAACCAGTCTTTATTACAGCCTAGTATATAACTGATGAAGCAGGGTAACTAGTGCCTATTACAGCCTAGTATATAACTGACAAAGCAGGGTAATCATTGACTATTACAACCTAGTATATAACTGATGAAGCAGGGTAACCATTGCCTATTACAACCTAGTATATAACTGACGAAGCAGGGTAACCAGTGCCTATAACAGCGTAGTATATAACTGATGAAGCAGGGAAAATCAGTCCCTATTGCAGCCTAGTTTATAACTGATGAAGCAGGGTAATCATTGACTATTACAACCTAGTATATAACTGATGAAGCAGGGTAACCTTTGACTATTACAGCTTAGTATATAACTGATGAAGCAGGGTAACCATTGCCTATGAAAGCTTAGTATATAACTGATGAAGCAGGGTAACCAGTGCCTATTACAGTCTAGTATATACTCACCACTCATGAAGTTGTATATAACTGGGTTGATGGAGCTGTTGAAGTATGGTAACCAGTGTGATATAAGCGCCATCACCAGAACAAAGTTGGTCGGTAACTGTAGCAGTACTTCCGTATACCTGTAAAAAAGATAATCGAACAAAATTAAAATAACTTCTAAGAAAGGACTTGTTTATGTATTTATCACAAATTGCCACACTGGCACATTCTTCAGTTCTTGTATCAATACATGTGAATACAGCTCTGTTTTATTTACACTCTAATGGTGTCGTTTCAATATTATTTTATTCAATTGTATACATAAACAAGTAGAGATTTTTTTTTTTATAAAGAATGAACAAAGATATCGTGATTGTGCTGAACATATACAATGTACTAAGTTTAAATAATTGAGGTGGAAAGGAACACAACAGGTGCTCCCAGTATGCATGGTTAGTAACGGTAAGACGATCATAACCATTAATTTAAGGTGCTTCCAGTATGCATGGTTAGTAACGGTAAGACGGTCAAAATTATTAATTTAAGGGGCTCCAGTATACATGGTTAGTAACGGTAAGACGGTCATAATTATTAATTTAAGGTGCTCCCAGTATACATGGTTAGTAAAGGTACGACGCTCATAATCATTAATTTAAGGTGCTCCCAGTATGCCTGGTTACTAACGGTAAGACGGTCATAATCATTAATTTAAAGTGTTCCCAGTATGCATGGTTAGTAACGGTAAGACGATCATAATCATTAATTTAAGGTGCTCCCAGTATGCCTGGTTACTAACGGTAAGACGGTCATAATCATTAATTTAAGGTGCTCCCAGTATGCATGGTTAGTAACGGTAAGACGGTCAAAATTATTAATTTAAGGTGCTCCCAGTATACATGGTTAGTAACGGTAAGACGGTCATAATCATTAATGTAAGGTGCTCCCAGTATGCATGGTTACTAACGGCAAGACGGTCATAATTATTAATTTAAGGTGCTCCAAGTATGCATGGTTAGTAACTGTAAGACAATCATAATCATTAATTTAAGGTGCTCCCAGTATGCATGGTTAATAACGGTAAGACGGTCATAATCATTAATTTAAGTTGCTCCCAGTATGCATGGTTAGTAACGGTAAGACGGTCATAATCATTAATTTAAGGTGCTCCCATTATGCATGGTTAGTAACGGTAAGACGGTCATAATTATTAATTTAAGGTGCTCCAAGTATGCATGGTTAGTAACGGTAAGACAATCATAATCATTAATTTAAGGTGCTCCCAGTATGCATGGTTACTAACGGTAAGACGGTCATAATTATTAATTTAAGGTGCTCCCAGTATGCATTGATAGTAACGGTAAGACGGTCATAATCATTAATTGAAGGTGCTCCCAGTATGCATGGTTAGTAACTATAAGACGGCCATAATCATTAATTTAAGGTGCTACCAGTATGCATGGTTAGTAACGGTAAGACGGTCATAATCAATAATTTAAGGTGCTACCAGTATGCATGGTAAGTAACGGTAAGACGGTCATTATTATTAATTTAAGGTGCTCCCAGTATGCATGGTTAGTAACGGTAAGACGGGCATAATCATTAATTTAAGGTGCTCCCAGTATGCATGGTTACTAACGGTAAGACGGTCATAATCATTAATTTAAGGCGCTCCCAGTATGCATGGTTAGTAACGGTAAGACGGTCATAATTATTAATTTAAGGTGCTCCCAGTATGCATGGTTAGTAACGGCAAGACGGTCATAATTATTAATTCAAGGTGCTACCAGTATGCATGGTTAGTAACGGTAAAACGGTCATAATCAATAATTTAAGGTGCTACCAGTATGCATGGTTAGTAACGGTAAGACGGTCATAATCATTAATTTAAGGTGCTACCAGTATGCATTGTTTGTAACGGTAAGACGGTCATAATTATTAATTGAGGGTGCTCCCAGTATTTATGGTTAGTAACGGTAAGACGGTCATAATCATTAATTTAAGGTGCTCCCAGTATGCATGGTTAGTAACGGTAAGACGGTCATACTCATTAATTAAAGGTGCTACCAGTATACATGGTTAGTAACGGTAAGACGGTCATAATCATTAATTAAAGGTGCTACCAGTATACATGGTTAGCAACGGTAAGACGGTCATAATCATTAATTTAAGGTCCTCCCAGTATGCACGGTTAGTAACGGTAAGACGGTCATAATCATTAATTTAAGGGGCTCCCAGTATTTATGGTTAGTAACGGTAAGACGGTCATAATCAATAATTTAAGGTGCTCCCAGTATGCATGGTTAGTAACGGTAAGACGATCATAACGATTAATTTAAGGTGCTTCCAGTATGCATGGTTAGTAACGGTAAGACGGCCATAATCATTAATTTAAGGTGCTACCAGTATACATGGTTAGTAACGGTAAGACGGTCATAATCATTAATTTAAGGTGCTCCCAGTATTTATGGTTAGTAACGGTAAGACAGTCATAATCAATAATTTAAGGTGCTCCCAGTATGCATGGTTAGTAACGGTAAGACGGTCATAATCAAATTCAAGGTGCTCCCAGTATGCATGGTTAGTAACGGTAAGACGGTCATAATCATTAATTTGAGGTGCTACCAGTATGCATGGTTAGTAACGGTAAGACGGCCATAATCATTAATTTAAGGTGCTCCCAGTATGCATGGTTAGTAACGGCAAGACGGTCATAATCATTAATTTAAGGTGCTACCAGTATACATAGTTAGTAACGGTAAGACGGTCATAATCATTAATTTAAGGTGCTACCAGTATACATAGTTAGTAACGGTAAGACGGTCATAATCATTAATTTAAGGTGCTCCCAATATGCATGGTTACTAACGGTAAGACGGCCATAATCATTAATTTAAGGTGCTCCCAGTTTGCATGGTTAGTAACGGTAAGACGGTCATAATCATTAATTTAAGGCGCTCCCAGTTTGCATGGTTAGTAACGGGAAGACGGTCATAATCATTAATTTAAAATGCTCCCAGTATGCATGATTAGTAACGGTAAGATGGTCAAAAGTATGCATTGTTTGTAACGGTAAGACGGTCAGAATCATTAATTTAAGGTGCTACCAGAGTATGCATGGTTAGTACCGGTAAGACGGTCATAATCACTAATTTAAGGTGCTCCCAATATGCATGGGTACTAACGGGAAGACGGCCATAATCATGAATTTAAGGAGCTCCCAGTATGCATGGGTAGTAACGGTAAGACGGCCATAATCATGAATTTAAGGAGCTCCCAGCATGCATGGTTAGTAACGGTAAGACGGTCATAATCATTAATTTAAAGTGCTCCCAGTATGTATAGTTAGTAACGGTAAGACGGTCATAATCATTAATTTAAAGTGCAACCAGTATGCATGGTTAGTAACGGTAAGACGGTCATAATCATTAATTTAAGGTGCTCCCAGTATTCATGATTAGTAACGGTAAGATGGTCAAAATCATTAATTGAAGGTGCTTCCAGTATGCATGGTTAGTAACGGTAAGACGGTCATAATCATTAATTTAAAATGCTCCCAGTATGCATGGTTAGTAACGGTAGGCGGTCATAATCATTTATTTAAAGTGCTCCCAGTATTCATGGTTAGTAACGGTAAGACGGTCATAATCATTAATTTAAAGTTGTTAAAGTTCGCGAGTTTTATTTTAAGGACGTGACTTGAAATGTACCTAGATTTACATGGCGGATGCCTTCAATAGAGCAGAGAACGTCTATCGTTCCGAAACATCTGGTTGTGTTTCCCATGTCCTGTGTCATTGGTCTTTTGACAGTTGTTACTCTAGTTTTATTAATTATGATTTAAAACGACGCATCGGTTTACACTTAGGTATTCACTCGTTGAAGGTTATTATATCTATCATATAGTGAACTGTTGCCCAATATATCAAAATATCTGAAAACCGGAGGGACAAAAATATGGACGGACAAACAAACCGGGAATCTGATAACAATTCTGGAATGCAACGCCATCTGGCGATGACATAGAAAATCAATGTGAGTAAACGGAAAACAATTTAACCTTAAACACATTGCTCATGACGTTGTATATAAGCGAGTTGATAGAACTTTTGAAGTATGGAACTAGTGCAGAGAAAGAACCTTCAAACTATCCAATCATGCATTTGGGCCATGATTCTACCACACGCCATTTACACATGAATCTAACTCAAATCAACTGGAAGTGAAAGAAGGCATAGAAATATAGAGGACCTTGACCTTGTGATGTGAGTCGGGAAGGCGCTTCATTACTCAGCGTCTACTCATTAAACAAATATTTAATTTTTTTATATAAAAAGCAAGACGGGGCATCAACTTGTCAAATACCAATATACGGAGCCTGGCAAGAACATGCATATGTCTTCGATCTATGCTGATGGAATCTCACCGTCGTCATCAGGACTTGATTTTTTTGTGTGAAATTGCAGTCTTTACATTGATGTAAGATGTGCCCTCATTGTCTTTTATCATAGGACGAATTCGCATATGGCGTCATAACGCGTGTCACGTAGTGCATGAAGAGCTCACTGTTTTGGTTCTCTTTTCAAATCTGTTTTGTGGGGGTTACGATGGGAAACGGAAATAATTCTTTGATCATACTTATATCGCCTGCTCTTATTCCTTTCTTCTTTAATTTGGAGATGGAATAATATAATCAGTATTTCAACAATGCGTAGAAGAAAAAGAGCCTGGTTCTCAATCTTTACCAGAATCATGGTGAGAGATATTGGTGTTATTCGTAAAGTAAACAAATAGTAGGGCAACATTTGTATTTGCCTATGTGCTTTTGAATGCAGATCAGTGTCATTCATTTGAATAAACTTGATTGCACTTTATCTAGATATAACTACATTTTCTTGGCTATCGGAATATTTACGACCATGTTACAAACGTAAGATTGTAAAATTGCCGTCAATACAATCAAAACTTTTTAGTTTGAAACGTGTCACTGTATATAATGTAACATACCAATTGACCTCACACTGTTCAAATTGATTTTACAGCGATGCTTGATATTTCGTGCTAATCGCTAACAGCTGCTGCATCTAGACGATGGTTAAGGTAAGAAAACCTGTTTGTTTCATCCACGTTTACGTTACAAAGATATGTTATCGCCATCTGTTAGATTGACTTAACAGAATAAATCACCATAATGCCGCAAATGCTTCCCTGTTTAGCGTTAAATTATTTTATAAGCCTTTGTTACAAATGCCGATGTTAAATTGAATCACCACGAAAATCTTCCTAAGGCAAAATATCAATATGTCTGTACATTCCGATACAGCAATATATACCAACAATCATCAATCCTGCGGCGTAACAGATATCACACAATTCTACAACAGACTGGTTGGCAATATTTTATGACGCTCGGGCTTTTGACGACAGTTTGTTTTAAGTTGGCTAATTTAAGAACCTGTTATGTACAAATTTACGGTTTCTTTTGTATTTTCTTTTCTTTCGTTTAAGGATTTGCGTCCTCGTAATGGCTATCGTTATAGAATCCGCAGTGTCCAGGGAGGATGCAGTATGTGAAGGCCTACCAAACAGTGTTATATAACACAGCCTCTCATAAAAATAAAGTCCGATACTTCTGATAAACAATTAATGCTGCAAGATTGATAATTAAGAGCCAGAGTACAATTTTTTGCGTGCTTCCTATTATATGTATTCCGTACATTGTTCCGTGAATTTCTTGGAATTTAGTTTCATGCATGCTTTTGATTCCACATTATTCATATAACAACATTTCATGAATGAGTGAGTAATTTTATTTTACAGTTAAAAATACTGGACTGATATCGTACTATATGTTTTAGCTACATTTTTAAAGGCATCACTCTGAAAAGGCCCCTCTGTGCGTATACTGTCATAAACACAGAATAAAAGGATAACAAAAACATTCTCTCATCATATTTGATGATAATGAAATGAGGAATTCTGATCTGTAATATATTATTTAAATGCGAAGTATCGAGAAATTATTATGCGTGAAATCCAACTAATTGTCGTACGCGTGGTTACCTTCGTTAGTTCTAGAGTGCGGTGGGTATTAAATACTCTTTTTGAAGAAAACCAAGCTATCCAAAAGATTAAACTGACCACAGTGGACATTGGCTACAGGTGATTGGGTTATCAACTAGGCACACTTCTGTAAGGAGAAATATATTAACGATTTCTGAGCGATTATAAGGGTATTGGTTGACTAAATAGCCCCTTTAATAGGTCATGATACGAAAATGTCATTAATTTCAGACGGTTATGAGATTTCAATATGAAAAATAAAATAACTGTAAGGTCATACAATTTCTCTCAACCACCCAGCAAACCAGAAGTCTCTAGTTCGAGTAGTAGATAAGCGAAAAAAAACCTCAGGATTCTACATTACTGGGACACTGGATCACCGTTTGTTTCCTCTGTGTCCCCGATGATATAGGCGGATTTTGCCAATAGTTAAATTTTCTTTGTTAAGCGCTTAGTCATAATGGCGAGATTCTATGAGCCCCCTCATCTCGATTCAGAACTGCCCCACTGCGGCTTTGTACCGTCTGGGCTGTAGTATTCAAGTGAGCTGTCTTCAGCACACAACAACGCATAAAAGCACGTGGCGATATTAGTCAGTTGGCGATGTTAGTCAGGTGACACAGGACTAGTAGTAAGCGCCTGAGCAGGCAGCTTCTACAAAAATGGTATTGGTTAATGTACATTGTATTGTTTGTGTGAATTGTGTCTCTTTGTACTGTAAATCAATACAGAGTGAATTATTCTCGATAGGAAGGGCACTGTATCAAATATTGTGTATTTTTTAAAATGAGAGGATACAGAAGAAAAATACCCGGTTAATAGTTTGTAACATCTGCGAAATTCTAGAAGACAACGATCTGCATGAATATTTAATTGACATATTGAGTGAGCATTCTTCTGTTTGATAACTACATAAAGTTTTGTCTGTACATTTGAAACGTTTAAAACCAGAAAATGCATTACGAAAACCGTAAATCAATCTCTGCATTACTGACTATCATTTTGTTTGAAAAATGAATAATTTAGCATTGGAAAACTATCCTTTTTTTTTATGGGAAAATAATATTAGAAACACATTACATAAAACCGTCAGTTTTGAAATCGGTCATTTGATTCCCATTGCACGCCTAAGTGCGTTATCATCATGTTTGTTTTTCCTGGAAAACACATTATATGTCGCCTTGAAATATTAGACCTATCTACTTTATAAGAACTAAACTGCCACTTGACCTTTTACAAAAAACATTTGCTGGTATTCGAGAAACGCCTTTTGACATGTACAAATGTAATTAAATGTTTTTCAATCAAAAAGTCTTCATACTTTTAAAATCACTGATATATAATGTGCTTACCTGAGAATATTTAGAAGATGAACTGGGAAATATGAGATGGCGAAGATGACGACAATTGTGATGAGCATCCTGGCAGCCTTCTTCCTGGATTCCAGTTGCTCGTCTGCTTTATTCATCTTACTATTCATCATCGGTTTTCGAGCTATAATGACAAGAAAAACATAAGTTTTTGGATGGAAAGCAAAAATGTTCACTGACGCCAGTACGTGTCTGCTTGCTTCAGTCTACTTGAATGGTGGCAATGTAATGGTGTCGATGTACCTAACGTTTGAGTGTTAAGTACATCAAAATATCAAGTCATTTAGTTCATTTACTGGCGGTCATCTATTTTGTGGGCTCTAACTACAAGAAAAAAATGTAAAGAGAGTTGTATGCCTGTTCAACCCATCTGCAATGACAGCGGAGAATTCACAAAACGTCTGTCGTACACAACTTTAAGTGAAATATGACCTACGCAAGATTTAGAAATGAACAAAAAAATGTAATGATTTGGTTAGGCAGCCTGTCGGACATGACAGCTGAGCGGAAGATATTTAAATAGTTCCTTGAAGAAATAAATATATATCAATTTAAATACCACATGATTGTACATGTACGTATGAATACCCGAATTGAAGCTAAAAATGTAATAAATTATTCTCTCTGCAAAGATAAACGCAACACACACACGCCCAGGTGATTGTACCTTTAACATTAGGTGATAGACACAGTTTGCCAACAATGGATTACTCTGCACCATACAGCTGTGACGTACTTCCGGGACTCAACAGTGATGCTAGGGGCCAACAAGATGGAAATCCAATTAGGCCTTTACTACTAATGAACCCCTGGTTAATTACAAATTATATGTAAGTAGGAAAGTATGTTTATTATGAACCATGCCCCAACTCAGAATAGATTACGGAGGCCGTCAAGGTTACAAAATCCACCAGCAGAGTCTTCCATCTCGTACCTAAAACAATTACAAGTAAAACAACATGCTATCCCCCTTCACTGATCCGTTCCAAGAAAACTCCATCGTTCGGGACTAAAATTTCTAAATGCAATTCTACAATATGATTTATTTCGTGTTTTTTTGGGGTCAGTCTGCGAATAAAGTGTCTTATACCTTTGAAATAATGTTAAATACTCAATTCCTTTAATCATGAAAATGTTGGCTCTTTATACAAATGATGTAGATAGTAAATATCTAATATAATGCTGAAACGCCTGACACAACATTTTATCTCTTGAAATGAATTTGAATTATAACTAATCACTAATCCAAAAACGTTTTGTTAAAATATGCGAAATGTTTTGTTTTCTAAAATGATAATTAAGGCCTCTTTAAGACAACTCATTCTTCACACTCAGAGGTCCTTATTGTAATAACTTGTTACATATTTGGTACAAATCCAAATTTTATAATGAAGAATATATAGAAATCTTCTTGTCAAATATCTTCACGTGTGATAAAAAGGAGGAGTAGTGCCAAATGCATGCCTAGTTGTAACATTGGCTACGCGTACAACAACCAATAACATATTATATCGTTACCCGCCAATTACTCTTACCAGACCTAATCACCTCCGACACGACCTTTGTTATATATTTAGGTCTTGATAATGTTCTCTCTCTGTATTTCAGTATTGTTTTTTGCATTGCAATATTTATTTATATTGTATCAATAAAATAACCTAGCTCTAAAAATCCATTTTTCAGACATTTGTGTGAAAAGTAAACAGCCTAACACAGAATAAGTTAAATACACAAGGATTAAATCCAAAATAAAAGTGGATTATGTCAAGAACAGACGGCACAATCTTACAAAAAAAAATGAAATTGTTCTAATAGCTGACCATTAACCAAATAGTTTAAACAAAGTATATATGATAGTTAGGATGTATTATTCATTCGGCAATCTAGTTTTTTTTATGAAATTACACACATTTTATACATACATGTATCTATATTTTTTTTCGCATTGTTAAATTTAACTTCTTATATTTTGTAATCCGGAATATCTAAAATAAAAATGCATTATTTACAGATATAACACAGGTCACGAGCGTTCAAACACATTTTGCAATGCCGTCATACAGCTGACCGACATTCTGCTTCTATTTTTATAGCATACAGTGTGGTTAATTGAAACGGCGTTTGCACTAGACAGATAAGCATCAAGATTGCAACACGAAAATTTTAGATAAAAAATGAAACTTCCATTTCCTGAAATTCTTGTATTTTACCAAATGTCTAAACTTACTCAGTTTCTGCAGTGTCTGATTTTAAAAACGCCAGAGAAAGAAGCTTCTAGATAAAATGAGTTTTTAATTGACGTGGTTACATTTAACAACTATCATACCTTACAAACTGGCTAGGTTCATTTACCCTATTCTTGAAAAATGAAAAATCATAAAAACAGTACGGAATCGCATGCATTATTAACACATATAGTATGACATAGTATACCAAAGCACCTACAATTTGAGAGATTTATAGCAATTTTCAATTTACATGATTTATGTGATTTACCATTATAAATTACTATAACTAGCAGGAATATAACGATTTTACTGCCTTCGAACTAGCGTCAACAAACTGAAATATTACTACAGTTAGTATTAAATACAGTATTTTACAACCATTGTAGTGATTAGCTGTGTAACCATATCCTATAAAAATGTGGGTTACAACAACGGCGTAGCAGAATTGTATACAAATCATTAAATTCATTCAGTTATTTGAAAACTATGCTATACTCTTGGTTTATCCCCGTCGATACAATCACGTTTGTTTATTTTGACATTTCAACGAGCGAGTTTTTGGTTATTGCTAACTACGAGCAGGTATGCCGACATGTTTACATCAACACGGAGGGCGGGTTTGGATGTAGTTCTCACGTGGTAATTCCCTAACTTGACAGCCATATCAACACGTGCATTATCACGTCATTATTCATACCCATTACGTAACACAGCAGGGAGGCTTATTAGTAAAAGGATCGCTTGCAAGATCAAAGCTGTGATTTTACCATCGTGCGGGTGCGGACACGTAGAGTGATGAGCGTTTACCTTTGTAATTAACATGTTCACCCGTCCTTTTTTGTTTTTGAACTTCATATATACATTCCTATATATATACTTATCATATAAGTCGGAGGGTGAATTATTTCGAAACATCATCAAATAACACCAATTAATGATCACAATTTACATAGAGAATCTGGTATCAATATCAACAGTATTAGTCTCACTTTGAAAATAAATTTGAAGAAATTACAACGCCTCTTACAAGTTGTCCGTTTTATCATTCTAAGAGTTGTTGATTACTCGTACATCTACTCGACTTTGCAGTATGATTACACTATGTGTTCACAACCCTATGAACTGGTAACATGACAATATGCATATCAATGGTGTAAACTCATTATGACAGTTTAAGATTTATTATCAATTCACAATTTTGAATTTATCAGACCTGATAATAACACTGGCTAAAATGATCAACATCAGAAATAAAGATTGAGCCACAAATACTGCCCTTTTCCAGTTCGGCAAAAAATGATATTGAAAACAAAAATCGAAAAATATACTTAAGAAATTCGAAATGATCATTGCGTTCGGTTCGGTTGATTACAGGTCTGTTTGAAAACATTACTGGGTATGAAACATGACAGATGGTCTTTCAAAATATTTATATATATATATCTATATAAAGAAACCATTAATAATACATAGAAACAGCAAGAGATGAACACCTTATAATTATTGTAACATTCAAGTTTGTAAACTGTATTCAAATATTACTTTCCGATAAAAAAGCAATTATTTGACTTTTTCACCGAACAGATTACCCACTGGTTATATTTTACATTATTCTTACTGCACAGTTGCCAAACTCCATTCGACTTTAGATCAAAAAGTAAATATATATGATGCAACAGTATGTTTACATGTACAGCACTGACATGTGTCAGGATGATACACAGTAGATACATATTTCATCAAATCAAATCAAATGCTATCTTTCAACTGTGGAAACAAATTTTTATCTTCAGTTAAATCAAAATAATTTTGTTGGTGATTAAACGTAATAGATTTTTATCGAATACAGCCATTCACCAACCAATGACCTGTACATGAATTGTAAGGAAGATGTGAACAGCTCATCCATACCGGTAACATTACAGGCTAGAATACAACAAAAACTTCGGCATTCCTTTTGATTTTTTATGAAAAATATGAGAAAATGGCATGACTTCTTTCCTTTTATGAATAGGAACGTTATTTGAAAATTACCATGCAGAAATATTGATGATTACATTTGTAGAACAAACGAAACTAAATCCCCGTGAAATAGTGTTATTTTAGACATAAACACGACGTGTCTGCTGGCCGCATCAAGCAGACGACAGATAAAAGACAAAATATAGAACCGTAAAATTGAATAGAAATGAGTTTGATGCAATATATAAGACAATGGATATACAGCATGAGATGATATCAGGCTGTAACGGGGATCAAACTACGACAGACTCGAACTGTTGGCGCCGTCCACAAGATACATTTGTGGTTGACATGAAAATGTATTTGACCTAAATACTTCTCGGAGGGAAACGCTGGTAGAGACCACACAGGTCAATACGTGCGTGCGTGCTCTTTGTATGCATCAAAACGCTGATTAACTGTCTATAAATACAAATTGGTTGATGTTTCATAAATGTATTGGTATAAGATAAACAATAATATGGAAATAACAACGTAAGATATTAGTTTGTTTTCAACTTAAAAGAAGATTTTGTGTATGCACATGTCATGTTTTACATATATTTTAAAGACATATATGCTCAAAGAAAGAATGTATTCATATTAAGCATGCATTTGCTCCCGTGTTATATGATATTTCAAAATGACAATTTACACTTATTAGTATGGTTTTATTATAATAACGCAATATATAATAGCCGTTATCTATGAAATGTACTGAAGGTTGATTCAAGAAAATGAATGTCTTTCCCATAAAACCAAAAACTAGTTCAATTTCCATCTCAGCAAACTACATCCAACTCTTTGTTGAATTTCCGAAATATGCTCATCGCCAGTGAAATTGGTTACGTGTTTTTTCCGAAATGCATTTGAAAATCAAAGAGAACACTAGCTG